GCTTGCAGGCACTTTAATCTGCTGAGCTATTTGGCTGGCCCACTCCATTAGTATTAGTACATACATATTTCAAAACCTTGTGTATATAATGAATATATGTGTACTTTATATTTGTCAAGTGAGCCAAAAAAAATAAATAAATAACACTATTGCTAATCTCTAGAATGGCATCCTTGAGCCAGTTATCAATGTGACCAGGTTGCCCAACAGTCACCACACTGGTTGGAAGAGGAACCTACTTACATAAACAGCGTCTCCTCAAGCACAAAGATCTCCCCAGCTGACACACTGCTGAAACACGGAAAGACTGTCAATGTGAAGAGTACTGAGGCCCTGCCAGGTGAAAAGAGGAACAAAAACACCACAGCAATTCAACACATTAGGCTGATTTCCTACCTGCAGAACTCTTTTCTTGAATAATATTACACTAAACAAGTTGTTTAAATATTTCTTTAAAAAATCTAAAATTACTCTGGGGAAAAATGATAGAGGAGCAGGACCCCTTAAGGTCTCTTCGCCATCTCTGCCTCTACTCAGCTAGACTATTGTGAGTCCATATTATAGCACATTTTGACACGCACAGTCTTAGGTTGCTATGATATAAATTTTGTGTTCCCCTAAAATTATATACAACAACTGAGAGGAAATCTTTGGAAGCTAATTAGATTTAGATTGGTCTTTAGAGAGTAAAGACCCAAGATGCGATTATGTCCTTATGAGAGGAAGAGACTCCAGGACCTGTGTAATGAGAGAGCAAGAATTTAAGTAGAGGCCCCCATCTGCAGCCAGATTAGGGCCTCCACTTAAATCATAGCTTTCTTTGCTTAACAGCGGGGTTGACCAGTGGTTCCGTAGGGTTTGTGTCTAGATATCCCCCCAAAGCCTCAGGCAGTCATGAAGCAGGCTTCTAGAGATTTTTATTGATTGATGGTCCAACACTGGGATTATGGTCTGAGTGCTACACCTGCCCTGGTGGGAGGTACTCTGTATACAATATAAGGGAGGGAAAGAGGCTTATTCCCTGATGCTGCTACTCCCTTTCCCTTTGTGCTCTTGTTACTTTTGCTGTTTTCCACTGCCTCCACCACAAACTGTTGCCTTCTGCCATGTGCCACTCTGCCTTGGAGCCAGCTGAGTATGGACTGAAATCTCCACAAACATAAGCTAAATAAACCTTTTCTTCTTTAATTGTCATGTTGGGTATTTTGTCTTAGCAACAAGAGAAAAGTAACCAAGACAGGTTACCACAGTTTGTCAAAATATAGTTGAAATTTGATGCCATTGTTACCACTGAATTTATTACCTATAGCCAAGGAAACACAGTACGACTGGCGATTAGTTTTCTCTCTGTGATGATATATAGATGCCTGAGGGTCATAATATTATGACCTGCTCCTAAAAACACAGGGCCCTGGGCCAATGAGCTTGCAAATCCTATTACAAAAACAAAACAAACCAAAACAGAACCATGAAATAAGAAAAGATGAGGCAACAAGATGCCCCCAGAATCTCAAACTTCTCTCAAAGCCAGCTCAAGAGGCAATGAGAGGGGGAAAATTCATAAATTACAAAGCAGATAGCTTTGAAAAGCTACCAGTGGAGACAAACCAGGTCATTAAGATACTTGGTGAATTTAAAGAAGGTATAACTAATAAGATGGTGACTGTAATAAAAAAATTATCAGCGAATCTAGAGAAGAGACTAACAAACAGTTAGGGGAACTAAAGAAAAAGATACAAAATAGGAATGCCCATCACAGAAAAGAATAGGAGTTATTAAAGGTACAAAAGAGCAATCCAGATTAAAAATATGATTGAAAATATAGAAAGCAGAAGTGACCAGTGTGAAGGCAGAGCGAAGAAGGAAATTATAAAGATTAGAGTAAAAATTAAAGAAACAAAGGCCAAGAAAAATATTACAAAGAATCAATGAATCAAAGAGTTCTTTGAAAGAATAAGCAAAATTGACACACACTTAAGCAATGTTACTGAAGCACAAAAAAGAGAAAGACAAACTACTGCAATTTGAAATGAAAAAGTTGAAATCACAACAGACACTGCCAAATCAAAAAACAAAAAAAAATTATTACCAACTGCTTCACAAACTTATATGCCATACAATTGGAGTACTCAGAAAAAATCGAGCAATTCCTAGATACATATGAACTGCCACAATTGAACTAAGAAGACTCAAAAATCCTGAATAGTCCAATAACAGGCAATAAAATTGAAGCAATAATAAGAAAAACTACCAACTAAGAAAAGTCCGGGACTTTATAAATTCATAGATGAAGTTTACAAAATGCCCAGGAAAGAACTAACACCAACACTCCTGAAACATTTTGATGAAATCCAGAGATTAGGAGTACTTGCAAAATCACATGTGGAAGCTAATATTATCCTGTTCCCCAAACCAGACAAGGGTCCAACCAAAAGAGAGAACTATAAGCCAATTTCTTTAATGAACATAGAAGCAAAAATCTTTAACAAGATACTGGTAAACAGATCACAACACATCATTAAAAAGTTCATACGTCATAACAAATTAGGCTCCATCCCAGGTTTGCAGAGATGGTTTGATTCATGCATATCAATAAATGGAATTGACCACATAAACAGAAACAAAGATAAAAAAGTCTCATGATCATACCAATAGATGCAGAAAAGACCTTTGCCAAGATCTAATACTCATTCATGATAAAAACCTAAGGAAAATAGTTATCTCAACATGACAAATCCACTTATGACCAACCTATTACTATCATTATACTAAATGGGGAAAACAGTAAAAGCATTTCCGCTAAAATCAGCAACAAGAAAAAGATGTCCAATATCACCACTCTTGCTCAACATATTTCTCAAAACATCAGCCACAGCAATCAAGCAAAAGAAAGAAATAAAAAGGATACACGAAGAAAAGAACAAAGTCAAAATATTATTATTTGCAAATGGTATGACCCTTACTTACAAGTACCAAAAGAATCCTACAATTGATAAATTAAGCAGTGTGGCAACATACAAAATAAGCACACAAAAATCAATAGCATTCCTATACAGTAATAATGAACATATTGAAAAAACAATTAGGAAAACAATGTCATTCACAATAGAATCAAAAAAATAAATATTTAGGTATTGACTAAGACAATGAAAGACCTCCACAATGAAAACTACATTACTCTGAAAAAGAAAATCAAGGAGGATACCAGAAAATGGAAAGCTCTCCCCTGTTCCTCAATAGGCAGAACCAAAACTGGTATACAGATTTAATGCAATTCCAGTCAAAACACCAATGTCCTTTCACACAGATCTAGAGCAAGTAATCCTAATATTCATATGCAATCAGAAGGGACCCAAAATAACAAAAGCAGTCCTAGGTAACAAAAGAAAAGTCAGGAATCACAATCCCATCCTTGGAGTTATACTATAAAAGTACGGTGATTCAAACAGCATGATACTGGCACAGAAACAGGCCTATTGATTCATGAAAGAGAAGAGTAGAAGCAGAATCTACCCCAAGCACACATAGCCATTTGAGTTTTGACAAAGGAGCCTGAAACACACACCGAAATAAGAGAAACTATGCAAGGGCTGGGGAGATAGCTCAGTAGAATAAGTGCTTGCCTGGCAAGCACAGGGGCCTGAGTTCAATCCCCAGTTCCACAAAAAAGAAAAAAAAAGAAAAAAAAAAGACACTATGCAAAATTGGAAAAAGGAAACTTATTTAAATATGAAGAGGAACAAGAGATGAGGGAGGGTGAAGGGAAGGAATATGAAGGGGAACAAGAGAGGAGGGAGGGTGAAGGGAAGGAAGGGAAAAGAAATTATTGAAAAAGAATGAAAGGAAAAATGAAAGCAAAGTTTTGTAAGTAGGGAGAGAAAAACAAATTGAAAGGAGGGGATGGGAATGGGCAAAAAGAGTTAAATAATATGTATAGGTACTTAACAAATATTATTTACAGGCACAAATTCCCTATGACAGATGTGATCATTAAATATGTCAAACATATACTAATATAAATAAATAAAGAAGAAGATAGATAGCTTCTTTAATAAATGGTGCTGAGTAACTTGGTTATCCACATGCAGAAGATTGAATTTAGACCTATAAAACTCACCATGTGCTAAACTAAAATCAAAATGGATAAAGAATATAAAAATTAACACAGGAACAATATACTGGAAGATAAAATAAGTACAATTCTTGAAGATATAGGCATGGGCAAGAACTTCCGGGACAGAGTCCCAGTGGCATAAGAAATACTACCAAGAATCAACAAATGGGATCACATCAAAT